TAATTATAATTACATTATTTTAGAATTTTTTAATTATTATAAATAAATTCTATAATTATAACTTTAATATAATTATAAATCTAATATAATTAAAAATACATTATTAAAAAATGTTGCTATTATAGGATTATATTTTATCTTGATATAATCTAAATACTTATTATTATATGTATTATAAAGAATATATATATATATATATATATATATATATATATATATATATATATATTATTTTCAATATTATGATCATAAATGAAATCAAGTTCTTTTCATTGTTTTGTTTTCTTTTACATTTTATTTGTTTTTATAAAGCTTATTACTTTTTGTGATAAATTTGGTTAGTTGTATTAGAATAAGTAATCAAATTAAGGATAAAAGAAATAGTTCAAATAATGTCCTGAAATAATTTTTATAACTACTAAAGTTTGTGAGGACACAACCATGATCTGTTGGAGGTAATCAAATATATCCCAAATACTGTAAATTTTCAAACAACTCCTCGAATATCAAATTCACACCGAAAAATTGATTATTCGATTAAGATGCTGAATGAGATTATTATCATGTATAACTATAACAACCAAATTAAAGATTATGAAAAATAAAGTTGAAATGAGATGAGAATAGCGGTAACCGCAACAATAATGAGATAATTATGATTTTTATTACCTTAGTCATATATATATATATATATATATATATATATATATATATAATTTTTTCCAGCAGCATAATAATCTTACATAATAATAATAATAATAAATATATCAACATACCTTCTTAATCTTTCCTTGACATGATTTATATTCAATCTTACATAATATTGTTATTGCCTGAATGTTTCAGAGATAATTCATCTGCTAACATATTGAAATTATAAGGGATGAAAGTGTATGAGGATGCCAACCTCATTTTTGAATTGGAAAAATACTTATCACATCAACTATGATGAGAATCGACATCAAATTCATCAGTGTTTCTCTTAGAAAAAAGAAAATCATTTTTTTATGAAAATTAGAATGATATTAGAATTCATACCATAGTCATCATCTTCTTAAAAAAGATCATCACCGTTCTGAAAATCAGAGATGTTATTGAGACAAATTTCATCTTGTGAGATATTTATGAAAAACAGTAAAAGAAAGAAAATACAAACAAATTTCATCCTCTGACATGTTTATGAAAAACAGGAAAGAAAAGAAAATACAAAGAATATGACATTTAGTAACACAATGAACCAACAAAGAACATCTATCGTAACATTTTTACAAAATGTTTAAAACAATGATCTTTAAGCTCACTAATGACTAAAATGTAAATGACATGTTTGTTTGTGGTGTAGATTTTGCCAAAACTACATAAAAAAGTGTGTTAAAAAGAGTTTTACTAATATGGATAAGAAGGAATAGGACTATACTTGCATAATCTTCCTCGGTTTCTTTAGTCTATATGTTTCTCCTAGAGAAGTTAGTTATTTTCACCAATCTATTTACCAACTTAATGAAAAGTCTATACGAGTTAGGATAAAAAGAAAAACTCTATGTAAGATAAAACCCTGAGATAAATATATCTAAAACAGATAAGTATTCATGTTTTACAGATGTGACCTCAACCTGTTATAAAAAATAACACATTTTAAGTTATAAATAATTTATTTAAGTTTTATTTTTTATTTTATGTTTTTCATTAATTTTTAAAACTACATCGATGAGACATTAATTACATGTTGGATTTAATTATTCATAAATCTTATATAATCGAATTTCACTAATTATAAAATCTTATGAAATCTAACTAACTAACAATCAATCATACAAAGCAATTGTTAATCACAAAAAAAAGTGAGTTTATGGTGTATAAAATATAACTTAGAATATAAATCACAATAAATTTTTTTAACCAACATAAAATTTTGTTTATTATATTAATAATTTTCATCATTATTTTAATAGTATTTACTTATTTATTTATTATTATTATTATAATAAAATGTGTAAATATTATATATTTATAAAATAATTAATTGTTATATATCTTGACATAAATAAATATATAATGTAAATATTAATAATATAAATAACTTTTCTTCAATTTTTTGTAATTTTTAATATAAAAAATAACAATTTTTAAAAAACATGTTTTTTTTATGAAAGATATTAAGGAGCGATTATACGAGATAAAACTAATAAAAAAGACTAATATTATTTATATAATTGTTCGTTGTAAATTAAATATTTGATTTTGATATAACATTATATTAAATAATAACTTATTAAATATGATTAATATATGAATATATTAAATTTAATAATTAAATACGTTAATATTATTACTTTTGTTTATATTTTTGGTGAGATCTTATTTTTTAATCAAAATAACTTGAATATTAAATATTAATGTTTATTTTATTTTTCAAAAATGAACCAATTATTGTTGATTTGAATGGTTTAATCAGCAGTGTATATTATAATAAAATATCACATGATTTTATAAGTAAGTAGCATATATATGTAGTGATGCCACTACTACAAATAAGGTTTTCCACGTCGGTTCTCGGTTCTGGAAGGCCTTCAACGGCGGTTCCAGAACTGACGTAGAAAGTCTGATGTTAACTTTCCACGTCGGTTAAATAGAACCGACGTTGAAAGTCCTGACTTTCAAATCAAAAATTTTTATTTATTTCCAACCCCTCTCTCTATATATCTAGAAATCCCCCCTCTCTTTTATATTATATTTTTATTAGGTCCCTCTCTCTTTTATATTATATTTTTATTATTTATCATCTTTTTTTGAAGTTTAGAGCATTACCAAATTAATTTTTTGTCACCGACGAGATTCGAATCCAGTACCTTGGTGTTGGAGGCCGATACTCCAACCACTAAACTACTCGAATTTTTTGATAATAACTTACAAATAAATTATATTTATATACAAATAAATATATATCCGTGTAAATATATAAATATACAAATACAAATATATTTATATATTTTGATATATTTATATAATTATATATTTATATGTTGGATGTGAGGGCACGCTCGAAGGTGAAAGTGTGTCGAGTGAGTTTTCAAAATTTGATGTCAAATTTGTGAGCGAGTCTCTTTATATGAGTTTGTAATTTAATGACGAGAATATAATATTTATAATTTATTAATGATATAAAATAAATTTGAGAAACGCATCATTCGCTCAAGCGAAAAGTACCAATTTTCGCTCAAGCGAGGCTTGAACGAGTGGATTTCCGTGAGTTTTAACGTATTTTCACTCAAGCGAGAGTCAATCTCACTTTCACCCTCAAACGCGCCTTCACATCCAACATATAAATATATAACTATATAAATATATATAAATATATATAAATATATCAAAATATATAAATATATTTGTATTTATATATTCTATATTTATATATTTACATGAATATATATTTATATGTATATAAATATAATTTATTTGTAAATTATTATAAAAAAATTATAGTAGTTTAGTGGTTCGAGTATCAATTTTCAACTCTAAAATACTGGGTTCAAATCTTGTTAGTAACAATTCTCTAACTTAAGTAAATTTTTGGCTGAAAAAAATAAAAACATTTTCCAGAAAATATATATAAATAAATATATATTTACACGGATATATATTTATTTGTATATAAATATAATTAATTTGTAAGTTATTATCGGAAAATTACAGTAGTTTAGTGGTTGGAGTATCAACTTTCAACTCTAAAATATTGAGTTCGAATCCTGTCGCTGACAATTCTCTAACTTAAGTAAATTTTTGCTTGAAAAAAATAAAAACACTTTCCGAGAAAATATATATAAATAAATATATATTTACACGGATATATATATATATATATATATATATATTTATTTGTATATAAATATAATTAATTTGTAAGTTATTATCGAGAAAATTACAGTAGTTTAGTGGTTGGAGTATCAACTTTCAACTCTAAAATACTGGGTTCGAATCCTATCGGTGATAATTCTTGAATTTAAGAGAATTTTTGGGTGAAAACACATTCAACGTCGGTTCATCTAGAACCGACGTGGAAAGTGCTTTCTACGTCGGTTGACTAAGAACCGACGTAGAATGTGTCCAACATTCAACTTTCAACGTCGTTTTTTAACCAACCGACGTTGAAAGTGTATTTAACGTCGGCTCAGCTTTAACCGACGTTAAATGGCGACGTTGAAAGCATATTTTGTAGTAGTGTGCATTATAAATTAGATTGATTTTTTTTTTATAAAAAGTTATTATTTTTTTTATAAATAATACAAATTAAAAATATCAATATTATTATTTTTCTTCAAAAACATCTATTTTCTTTTTAACAATTTGAATCGAATGATTTCTTGGTAACAACACGTGAAGAATATAGTGTTGCAGTCTTCCATAACAACAACACTTATTATTTGCAATGGTAACCATTTATAAGAAAGCTATAACCATGTATAAACAGTTGGCATTTATGTATAAAACCTTAATTCAGAAAAATTATGGTGATGAATATGAATCTTAATATAGAAATCCTTATTGTTCGCAATTCTCTCTTGACATGTTCCTCAAAAAATCCGATTCGTGCGGACTCTTCCCCCAACTAATGAAGAGATCTTGACAAAATTGTCACATATGAAATTGAGCACAATTTTACAAAGAAATAGTCCGCTTGTTTCTCAAAAAGAGATGGGAAAAATGCTCAATTTCATTTGATTGAATAATTGACCCAGTCCCTTGTTGTTTGAAGAAACTCTCCAGTTCCTTTGGTATTTTTTCACGAAAAGCAAATATGAGATAATAAATCTAGTCTTTCACTAAGATTTCGAATAGTTGTCCCGAATTCAAGTTGATCATGTTTCGCCTCTTTTTCGGGGAAAGATGATAAAAAAATTTCCAATCATGGTCCTTACGGATCGGATCATCCTTATAATATACAAAAAAGGAACTCCAGATATTTGATATCTTTCTCTTTGAATGAGATCTCAATTTCAACGATGGTTTCATTAGATATCTTACAACTAGAATCGCTATTATTTCCTATCCAGTTCCTCCACCACCGCGAACCCCAGTTAAATTCAGGCATGATATACTTTTTAGTTATTGGGAGAACCCGAGTACTCTCTTTCGGATCCAGGAAAGAACTCTCAGAGATCTTTTTTCCTTTTGGAAGATACAGGAGCGGAACAATCAACCTATTGATATTGGAAGAATCAGATGATTCTTCCAAT